CCCCGCCACTTGCATTCTGTCTCTTCTGTCAAAAATAAACATTAAAAAAAAAGTTTGTAGAAGCAGTCTGATTCAGTATGAGAAGTAACCATCTATTTAGAAATCTTTGAGTTTGTCACTTTCCAACTATTGGGGTTCTATCAATCCTAGATAACCATCTATCCAATAGTGCTGTAGAAGAGGCATTCGCACTGCATGGAGGATGAAATAGATCATCTCTGCAGCACTACTCTGTTAAAATTACCTGAGAGATTCTTAAGTTGTGGAAACAAATTGTAGAAGTAAATAAGTTTTCAGCAGGTTTATATCAGATAGAAATTTATTGGGAATTAGTCCTTGGTAGAATTTGCAAATCTGTTCCAGTATCAATAAAAGGATTAAAATTGATATACATTGTATCAATTTCTCTGTGAGATGTGATGAATAATAGTGAGTTTTATTTGGGAATCTCCTTTCTCAATATTATCTTAGTGCAGCTAGCAATTAGACCAAATGAAACACTGAACCAGTGTCCTGCAGAGGAAAGGATTCTCATAATGTATTGCCTTTTTCCCTGCTGATGACATAATGTGCAAATGTGTCTAGAGGAGTGACTGTTTCAACCACTGTAAGAAATCTCTTCTGCATCTTGATTAGTGTACACACATCCACAAAAGATTCGGGGTGCAAAATGTTCACATAATTTGTCTTTATGGTCATGACCCACTAAACTGGTTTCATGAACTACTTGAGTGGTTTGTATTATGCAATTTGGTAAACATGTGTCTAAAATAGTTCTATTCAAGCTGAGATCTGTAGACATGCAGCATCAGCACCACCCTGAAGCTTGTTTGAAATGCAAGTTCTTGGGCCGATGCACAGTGAAGTTGGAGATCATTTTACTGGTCCTCTTTATACTCCAAAGAGCTTTTGTGGTTATATCCGTTGATAGTTGCCATATTATAAATTAAAACTTAGGAGCTTCAGGGGCTCCTGGGTGGCTCAGTTGGTTAAGTGTCCAACTCTTGATTTTAGCTCAGGTCATGATCTCCCAGTTTGTGGGATTGAGCACCCCCACTGGGCTCTGCACCAACAGTGCAGAGCCTGCTTGAGATTCTTTCTCTCCCTCTCTGCTCCCCTGCTTGCACACATGTTCCTTCTTTCCCTCAAAATAAATAAATAAACATTAACAAAAGAAGAAGAAGGGTGCCTGGGTAGTTCAGTCGGTAGAGCATCTGACTTTGGCTCAGGTCATTATCTCACATTTAGTGGGTTCAAGTTCTACATCCAGCTCAGGGCTGACAGCGTGGAGCCTGCTTTGCTCTCTGTCACTCCCTCTTTCTGCCTCTCCCTAGCTTGCTCTCTCTCTCTCTGTTTCTCTCGAAAATAAACAGACATTTAAAAAATATTTTAAAACAATTTGTAAAAAAGAAGAAGAAACTTAGGAGCTTTAAAAATATTTATTTTTTAAATTTTTTCTTTAAAAAAATTTTTTAAATTTTTTTAATGTTTATTTATTTTTGAGACAGAGACAGAGCATGAACAGGGGAGGGTCAGAGAGAGAGGGAGACACAGAATCGGAAGCAGGCTCCAGGCTCTGAGCCATCAGCCCAGAGCCCGACGCGGGGCTTGAACTCACGGACCGCGAGATCATGATCTGAGCCGAAGTCGGACGCTTAACCGACTGAGCCACCCAGGCGCCCCTTAAATTTATTTTTATAGTACTAGTAATAAATCCATTATATGTTGACATCAGAGCAATGAAGTCACCACACATATATCTCTTGGATCAGGGAACCTCCACAGTATACACCTGAAAAAAATGATGGAGGAGAAGCAAATAAATCTTAGCATTATTGTGAAAGTAGTTTTGACCTTGCAGTCCCCAAAGGTTCTTGGGGACTCCTGATAGCCCATAGGACACACTTTGAGAAGTGCTCTTGTAGACTGTTTTTGAGAAGACTAAGACCAAATTTTTGTAATCCTCATATAGGGTAAGTATGGGGTCATGTGAGTCGTTTTCATCAGGAACTTTTCAAAGCCTGGAAGAGTGCAGTTTATCCAGGCCATTGAGGGGTCTATTACCAAATTCCTAGAACTAATTGATAGACTCACTTGGGGGTTTTGGTCTTATTTGAATAATCTTGCTCTCTTCCCTCCGCAGTACATGCCTCAGTGCCTGGTATAATATTAGCTCTATAATAGATATTTGATAAAATACTTATTTGAATGACTAATAATTCTATAAGTTAGAAGCACTAGATGTTAACAAGATGTATGTGATTGATTGATTTCCCTCAGGACACAAGTTAACAGAGAATGAGAGAAACCAATTATTGGCAATAGCATCATCATTGTTCGTGGCATTCCAATTAAGAGCACAACATTTTCAAGAACATGAAAATTCAAGGTATGTTAGATTATTTAAGACAGCATAAATGAACAAATACCGACAATCTAATCATAGAAAATAGCTAATAAAAGATATAACTGATCATAGTTCTGAATCTTGTGAGTGTTTGCAGACGTATAATAAAATCACACTGTTTAAAAATGGTATTGCTTCTATTTTGTTCAAATGATTTTTTTTAACTCAGAAAAAAGGATCTTGACCCTGCTAATTTGGACATTATTAGAGGTAAGAAGATACTCTGAAGCCCTGAGGAATATCTGTTTAAGTAATTTGTATTTTATTATTTCTGTTTTATAACTTCGTTTGTTAATCTTTGTTAACTTTGTTGACAAAGTTTTGAAAAGTGTTATAGTACTAAAAATTAGGATTGAGTCTGAGCAGCTAAAATATACATATATATAAGAAATTCATTTATAAGATACAAGAAAGAGTTAACAGGTTGAGTTAGTTATTTGTGATCCCTAAGTATACCTTTTAGCTTCCTAGAAATGTAAGTGAAAGAAAAAATATCCTTTGTATCAGGGCAAATAAAAACAAAGTCATCATGAAATTAATGGCTTTAAATGACAGAATTACTTAACATGAATTTCTATGTCCTTGCTAACATAATCCTACTTTAGCAAGTACAGTCTATGACTTGCTAGGGTGATGTTGTTGATAAAACTGTGTCACTTCAACTTCTTTTCCATGTTTTTTGCTTTTCCACAAGAGGAAGAACAAAGAGAAAAAGAGAAAAGATGGCAGGTGACTGAGCAGCTCCGAAGAACACAGATCAGAAACTCAGATTACCCTCTGAGAATTAGGTAGAGGAGAAGTAGATTGGGTTTCGGCTGTATCTTAATGGCTGACTGGTTTTACTCAGAAAATCTTGGAGTAAATAGTACTCTTCATTTGTTCCTATTCTCAACAGAGAGAAGCTTAGTTGATGATTTTTTTTTCCCACTTGTTTTTATTGAAGTATAGTCGACACACAGTGTTACATTAGTTTCAGGTGTACAGCATAGTGATTGAACAGTTCTATACTACATGCTGTGCACACTGTAAACACAGTAACCGTTTGTCATCCTACAACACTATTAATACCATTAACTGTATTCCATATGCTGTAGCTTTCATATGGACTTACCATTCCATAAATGGAAACGTGTACCTTCTCCTCCCCTTCACCTGTTTTGCCCATGCCCCACCCCACCCCTGTGGCAACCATCAGTTCTCTGTATTCATGGGTCTGTTTCTGCATTGTTTTGTTTTTTACATTCCACGATAAGTGAAATCATATGGTATTTGTCTTTCTCTGACTTATTTCACTTAACATTATACCCTCTAGGTCTCTCCATGTTGTTTCCCATAGCAAGATCTCATTCTTTTTTATGGCTGAGTAATATTCTCTCTCTCTTTTTCTCTTTCTCTCTCTGTGAGTGTGTGTGTGTGTGTGTGTGTGTGTGTGTGTGTGTAGGAAATGGCTATTGTAAATAATGCTGCACTAAACATAGTATTCATGTATCTTTTTGAATTAGTGTTTTCGTTTCCCTTGGGTAGATACCCGTTAGTAGATTAATGTATAATCTTTTTTTAAGTCATGATTTGATAGATGTCTAGGGAGAGTTGAGAGGTTACCGAATATCAGTAAATTACTGAATGATGGAAGGAGGAGGAAAGTGGGCAATAAAGCCATGAATCTGGTTGTTTTTTTTCCCTAAAGTTGCACTGGCCAATGTAGTAGCCATTGGCCATGTGTGCTTACTTGAACTGAAATTAAATTAAAAGTTCAGTTTCTCAGGTTTCAGTGCCACTATCTGTGTAGTCACCAACCGCATTTCATGTGCTCTGTAGCCACTGCTGTACTGTGGTTAGTGGCTACTGAACTGAGTGATAGAAAGAACCTTCTATCATTGCAGTTTGTTTCCATCAAGCTCTGTTGCAACAGGGATGTTTTGGAGGGATGTGTGTATCTAGCTTTTGTTTTTTTTTTTAAATATTTTTTTTTCAACGTTTTTTATTTATTTTTGGGACAGAGAGAGACAGAGCATGAACAGGGGAGGGGCAGAGAGAGAGGGAGACACAGATTCGGAAACAGGCTCCAGGCTCCGAGCCATCAGCCCAGAGCCCGACGCGGGGCTCGAACTCCCGGACCGCGAGATCGTGACCTGGCTGAAGTCGGACGCTTAACCGACTGCGCCACCCAGGCGCCCCTAGCTTTTGTTTTAAATCCAGAATCATACTTTGTATAATTTTTTTATTATTCTTTTGATAAATATAGTGTTCATATCCTGATGCCCTTCAGATGTTATTTAGACCTTGATCATTTCTGAAGTCCTGAGGGTCACTAATAATGAAGTGGTTTGATCTTTAAGATATGTATTCAAATTATTTTCAGAGAGTACTGACTTACCACTGGCAAAAATCTGAAAAAGGTTTAAAAAGGAAAAGAATAAAAATTACTTGTATCCCACAAACTTTTCAGGAACTACTTTTTCACATTTTGATGTATTCCTTTCTAAGTGTATATATGTGTGTATATTTATAGACATACATACATGTAGCATGCATATACCTCACATGGAGTCATATTGGGAATATAGTTTGACTTCTATTTTTTCATTGTAATATTATGTTGTGAATATTATTTTTATTCCCTAGTCTTTAGAAGCATATTTAAAAATTTTTATTACAGAATTAATAAAACATATGGAAACTTTTGCTCTTCAAAAGATACCATTGAGAAAACTATAAAATATGTAGCAAATGGCAGAATGTATCCAGAGATATATAGATATATAGGTATATAGATAAGGAACTTGAGTTTATAATGTATAAGTACTTCTTAAAACTCAAAAGTAAGCCAGACACCCCAATTAAAAAAATAGAAATCTTTATTAAAGGAGTTATATGAATGGCAATAAGTTCATGAAAAGGTGTTCAGCATCATTAATCACTAGAGAAAGACAAAATCACATTGCTACACTAATACACACCAACTAGAATAATGTACATTAAGTGGTAAGTGGATAAATAGTTGTGGTATATTCATACAATGAAATACTATTTAGCAGTAAAGTAGACAAAAGTACTGGTATATGTATCACCATGTAAAAAAAACAAGAAAGTCCTGCTAAGAGAAACCAGATTAAAGAAGACTATATAGTCTGTAGTTTTATTTGAAATTTCTAGTAAAGGCAAAAATATAATGATGGGAAGATCAGTGGTTCCCTGGATGCAGGTGTTGATGTCACAGAATTACGTCTTCATACATTCTGTGCCCCAAACCATAAATTAATAATTCTTTTAAATGCATTAATTTCTTAAATTATGTAGAAAACAGAATATGGACTTTCAAAAAAAGTTATAATAATAACAGCTATTATTATTGTCCATAATAATATGGACTTTACTGAGACATTTATTTATTCATGTGGCTTCCTGGCACTGTCTGGAGTCCTTCCATTTCAGCTTGCAAGACTGCCTTCTGCATTTATTGCAGGGCAGGTCTAGTGGTCACAAACTCACAAACTGCCTCAGTTTCCCTTTATCTGGGAATGTCTTAATTTCCAATTTTATTTCTTAATCCAGTTTTGCTGGATTTCGGATTCTTAGTTGACAGGTTGTTTTGTTTTTTGTTTTTTTTTTTTTCTTTTAGCACATTGAATATATAAGCTTACCGCCTCTGGCCTCTTCAATTTCTGTTGAAAATTGGACAGTCTTATTGAATATCCTTTGGAGGTGATGATTTGTCTGTCTCTTGCTAGTTTCAAGATTTTCTCTTTGGCTTTTGAAAAGTTTGACTGTAATGTGTCTTCCTGGGGGTCTATGAGTTCATCTTACTTGGAGTCCATTGAGTTTCTTGAATATTTATATTCGTGCCTGTCATCAAATTTGGGAAGTTTTCAGCCATTATTCACATATTTTCTCTACCCCGTTCTCTCTCTCTCCTTTTGGGGCTCCCATGGTGAATACATTCGTCTGTTTGATGGTGTCCCACAGGACCCAGTCTTTCTGTTCTTCAAATTCGAGAATTTCTCTTACCTTATTCTCAAGTTGGCTGATTCTTCTGCCTGCTCAAATCTGCCTTTTAATCCTAGTGAGTTTTTCATTTCAGTTATTGTACTTTTTTAGCTCTAGAATTTTTAAATTTCCTTATAGGTTTTTAATTTTTTTATTAATATTTTCATTTTGTTTTCACATTGTTTGTTCACATCTTCCTTTAGTTTTTTGAGCATCTTTAAGAGAGAGTTGTTTTAAAGTCTTGGTTTACTATATCTGCCATTAGCTCTTTTTCATGGTCATATTCTGCTAATTTTGTTCTTTGAGAAGACCATACTTCTCTGTTTTTGTATATGACTTGTGATTTTTTTGTTGTTGTTGAGCATAGGACATTTGAATCTGTTAATGTGGTAACTCTGGAAATCAGATTCTCCTCTTTCCTCAGGGTTTACTGGTTGTTGTTGTTGTTGTTGTTATCTGCATTTATTTGTAGACTGTCTCTATGCCAGCAATCAGCTGATCAGCTTGAGGTGTAAATGTAAGGTCTTCTCAGGTCTTTTCTGAGCATTTCGCTGGGTGTGTACAGTCACTTTCCAGTTTCCCTTATAAATGCAGTTGTTTTGAATGTCTTAGTCTTTATTGTCTGGCTCCTGACAGGGGGAAAAGCAGAAAATGAAGGAGGCAAATGGGGGTACTGACCCTTTAAATCCCCTGGAAGTCCCTTCAGCCAGAGGGAGGGGCTTGCAACACTGGGAGGAGGTGCAGTAACAATGGCTGTCTACCTTTTTGTCTGCACCTCTGTGATCACAAGCAGTAGTCAATCATCATAACACAGATGCCTAGTATTTGGAGGACAGGATCCTTTTTTTGCCCACCCTGGCTTCCACAAGCCGTGTGGACGCTGCTCCAGGAACACATGCCAAGCTGCCTGCCAGTTGCTGGGGATGGGCTGGGGGATGACTAGCTGTTACTCTGGTAAGACCTGAAATTGATCAAAATTGATTGCAATTTACCAT